TTTATTTTCATCATGAGGAAGCTCAAAAATAAATACTGTGGAACTGCAGAAGAGGATTTCTTCATCAGGACCAGATGAACAAGTCCTTGCAACCTTTTTGGGAAAAACTGCTCCTCTGCTGAGTTTTCCAGAAGAATAAGTGTAAAAGAATGGTTGAAATAATAAATTCTTCTGGAAAAAAATATGGTTTCCTGTTGAGTAATCCAAGGCTTTATTGTTTCTCAGGGAGCAACGAGCTGCAGAATCTTAAAAAAAAAAAAAAAAAAAGAAAAAAAAAGAAAAACCAAAAGAATCAACACACTAGTTAGTACAGACTAACAGACTAATAAAGTAACTGTTAACATGATGTGACATGCCTCTGGAAGTATATTTATTGCCCCAAGAATTCCCCAATGATAATTTTCTGACTAGTTTTGTTTGTTTTGTGTGATTTAGAATCTATTGATATGAAATATAATTTAAAATACATGAGGATGATAAACAGTTTATTTTATTTAAATAATTATTTTACTTTCTTCTTGCCAAGTACCTATGCAAATCTATCGAGCAACTGATAAATAAAAGTCTCAATCCACTGAGGTAGGAAAGAAAATTATTGCCTGTAGTCAGAGTTAAGACAGTGGGCTTTTACAAATAACCAAACACACCCAAGCACTGAGGTCAGGGGTCTTTTTGAGTGAACCAGCACAAGGATCAGCTGTCAACTATGTGATGTAAGTGCATTGCTGTTGTGGGACTGTTGTCTGTGATCTAGGGCTGAAGGTAAGGGCTACAGAGGCCAGCACCAACAAAGTGCGAGCAGCAGGACAGAACCCACTCAAAATTTCCCATAGCTTGACTCAAGCTCCTCAACATCCTCTGGAAAGAGAAATAATTTTTCAAGAGGACAAGTTAATCTTCAGTTGCTTGCCTTAAAAAATGAATTTTCAGTTTTGTTAGTGCAGTGCAGCAATGAACCCTTTTGCAGCGGTGAACATCTTCAGAGTGATGCCTATTTCCCACCCACCGATACCACCTGCAAAGTTTTTACTGAGCTACTGAAGTGAGAAAACTGATGAAACTTATTTTAATCAATTATTTTCTTCACAAGCCTTAATGTTGTTAACTTTAGGAAGTAGTTGAAATGGTAGCATGAACAGTAGACAACAGTTACAGGTTTTAATCTATGCAAATGGGGGGAGGAACCCTTTCTCATCTTTTAAGAAACAGAAGGGATTAATCTAAAATGGTATACTTAATTACCCAAATCATGCCTTCTTCAGTGAAAAGCAATGAAAATGAGAGCCTGTGATTATTTCTATATTTCTGAAATAAAATGTTGATGCCATTAGCTAAGCAATACTTTAGTGACAGTTTGAAACAGAAGTCTCCAATAGACTTGCAATATAGATTTTAAGGGTTCATTATTCTTGGTTTGTTTTATGCCAGTTGAACATTAAAACCAGATTTTCTGAGGCTTAGGAAGCATACATCCTTTACATGAAGGCTAATCCTCAAACAAACATGCCTTCAACAATCACTTAGTTCACTCTATATGCATAGCAAGGAATTCAAGTCACAGAATCCTCATAAGATGCTTATTTTAAAGTACTATAATTTCCCTGCTTATCCTGTACTTTCTTCTCTAATTCAATGAAAAACCGATTATTACATAGGCATAAGAAATGTTTCTAATTTGGCTTTTTCCAGATCTCCTCTTAGCAGACATTACTTTCTCACAGATTGCCCCAGTTTAATATAGAAACTGCATAAATAAGGTGTCAGAAAAAAAAAAGCTGGAAACAAAAAGAGCACCTCTTTGGATCCTAAGGAGAACAACTACATGTGAAGAGATACATGGTTTGTGAAAGACATAATTCTATCCCGAGACTAGTGACAATTGATTGAAGCCTAAAAGGTTCAGAGTGGCCTTTTCAAAGACCAGAGGCAGATTAAAAATATGTCTAGTGTCATGTCAGGGAAAATGTTCTAGTACAGATTCATTCAAGGACTCACAAACAACTGCAGCCATATAAATTAGTTGTGTCAAAACAAGTCTTGCTACAAATTTTCTTAACATTGGAAGACAAAAGGAGATTAAAAAATCCAGATCTCAATTTTGTAGCTCAGTCAACCTTCTCCATTTTCTAAGTCGTGGGTGAAAAGTGCTTTCAGGTAGAAACCCTGTAAAAACAGGTGATGTCATCTTAAAATAAAAACTTGCTATTCTAGCTTAATTTAATTTTGAATTCTTGCCTTTAACACAAAATTCAACTAAAATTAAGATTTGATAAAGTAAAGAATTTAGTCAACAAAATCCTTAGAAGAACATCTATCCTTCCCTCATTCTAATTCCAGTAATTTTGTGGGATGGAGTTTTCCCTCTCTCATTGTCATATCTGTGCAATGCTGGTCATTTTAATCTCAATGATTTATGCTTTTTCTGAAAAGATGAGATATTTATGTAGCCAATATATATTCAGCTGTGCTTTTATTATTTCAAATGTATTTATATATTGACATCTTTGAGCATAAATTTATAGATATGGCAAATTCTTCCTGGCAGTTGTAAGGCTTTCAATTCCTACTCAGCTCTATGTCTAAATAGGGAGAAAGGTAGCTATTGCTATATGGTAATAAGGTAATTATTGCTATATGGTATATATTGGAAGGTAATTATTGCTATATTGTCTTCTGTCATCTCTTCTGTACCATCTACACAGGTATTCAATATGGAAGTAATTATTTTTGTTTTCATTTTCATTGTCTTTTGATTACTTTAGCTGTAGAAATATCCTTGTATGTAGGAGGGGAAGACCACAGCATTCTGCACAGCACTGCACTGTTAAAGAGCTGCATGAAGGTAGAAAGGAGTCTGCTTGCAGGGCCACTGTGTGAGTTGCCCCAGCAGGGTTTGGTAGAATCCTTCTGACTGTACTGCCTGTAAAACCTGTTAAAGTGGTAGAAAAGTGCCTAGAGGGCAACCCTAGAGCTAACCTTTTGAGATTCACAGACATTGTTGCAAAGAAATTGCAGAACCTGAAGCTTTTTTAAAGCCAGGGAATGAATTCCTGGTTTTCTTTAAGGCAGCAAGTATTTTGCTAGTGATGCTACCAGGTATATCTGTTCAGGTGAGATGCAGGGCTCTTCCTTCAAGCAAACATTTGGGTATCAACAAGTCTAAAGAAGAACATTTTTTCTCATCTAGGGAAACGTAAGAACTCTTCACAGGATGTGGGGCTAGAGAAAAAAAAAAAAACGAATCAAAACTTCCCCTAGACTATTTGCAGTCATCTGTAGTTATGCTGCAGATCAAGAAAAATGACATAACATTTTTTGCCTGTCAGTTTTACTACAGAGGATCACAGGCTTAGCCTACAGTAAACTATCTCACTTTGCCTTTCTTTCTTTTTCCTTTCCTCCCAGAATAGCCCAAACCCGAGGTTCTCCAAACCAGGTTACTTCACAGGGCATTTTTTTACCCATGCCCCTGAGCCAAACAGCAGGTGTAGCACAAGGCTGAGAGTAAGCCTCTGGGCAAAATGCTCTTGGCCAAGCTGGACCTCCTTTGCACAGATGACAGATGCATGCTTCCTCTGAGGCTGTCCCTGCCATGGGAAGGTCTGGGCTCTCCAAGTGATGTGTGTGTACAGCTGCTCATAGAAAGTAGAGGAATAGACCTTTCTTGTAAGCAAGTTGTCCTACTCGCCCTGAATTTGAGACTGACTCTTTCTTTTCTGGTAGAATCTAAGACCAGGTGGCTTTTTGCTTCTTGAAAAGCAAGGTTATGTACAGGGCTCATGTGATGATATTAATGATTGACGATTAGTAGAAGGAAATACCAGGCACATGGCCTGTTCTGTAGGGAGTCATCAAGCTAGACATGGTAGCTGTATTTCAAGAAAATGCCTAAGAGCCTAAAGGCTTTCTAATAGCATTAAAAGTTTTATGATCTGGAGTAAGGTAATCAAATCTCATGCTTCAGGGCACATGCTGATCTCCACAGGAACCAGGAAGGCATTTCCCACCATGAGAGCTTTATGCAGTTGTCTGGGTGGTTTCTATCTTTCCCCAGACTGATGGTAAATGGAGCCTGTTGGAAGCAGGACACTTGAACTGCATGGAGTGACCCCCACGTACCTGTATCTCCATGTAGCTCTTAAAGAGCTAAAGATTTTGAATCCTATAGAAATGAATGCATTATGACTGAAAGCTCCTGCAAAATACCTTCAAAGTGAAACTCCAGGCCAGCTTTCAGTCTCTAATAGGTAGGTGCAGTGCTCATTGAATGCACTCCCAGAACAGAGAACAATACTTGGCAAGCTGCTTCTGGTGAGGAAAAATGATTTATGTCATATGTCAAGTGCTCATAAAATGGTGTGGCACTTGTACACAGTGTCTTTTCTCATCTTAGGTATGAGGCTAGTCACTGCATCAAAGCAAAGCACAGTGTTCACAGCATCGTTTTTGTTCTCCAACCCCTAATGCACTGTCATGCCAGCCAGCTTCTCTGTATGCCCATCTGATAAAATCTATGCTGTTTTGGCTGCCTCCTGCTCCTCTTCTACTTTTAATTGTCTCTGTGGCTTTCTTCTTGCCTTTTTTGTTTTTCTTCTCATTGTCTTCTGCCCAACTGAAGGAAATAATTTGCCATTTGTTATTGAAATTTTTACTTTGATCTGGATAATGTAAAATATTTTAATCTGGAATGAAATATGATGCTACCACTTTGTCATTAGAAAAAAAAATTCTCATGGGAACATTTATATAGGCATGTGTATATACACATAATTAACAGTAGCATGGACAAAAACAAACTGCTTCAGCAAGGCAGCATTTACCATCAATCCAAGCCAAGACTTCTTAATTTTTCCTGCTTGGAACACAATGTTTAAGAATGTTTTTCTTATGATGTCACAGTCAATGTCCCTTTTGGGTCCAAAGTTAATATCCCTTTTGACACCTCAGTCAGTATTTTCCCCTAATAATACTCTATATTTTTTTGTCATTATTTTTCACAGGCTTGTACAAAGTTGTGATGATGCAGCCAAAGAAGAGTTTTGAAAAGCTACATCTCAGGCATCAAGGTCAAGAAAAACAATTGGCTCCACATATGCTTTGTGAGTTTAATGACCAAAACAACTTGAGTTTTTCTAAAATGGAAGCTAGTCCTCTGTCTGAGAGAAAGAAGACAAAGTAGTCAAATTACTCTGTAATTTTGTTTTTATTTACTAGTTAAAAGGGGCGGAGACACCCCCCCCCCCCCCCCCTTCAGTGGAAAATATAGAAGTAGCAATTAAATAGGTGCAGAACATAACAGTGTTACAGTTGTCATTCTGCATGGAAGCAGCAGAACAAGGTGAAATAATTCAGAGAAAATACTGAGAAAAATTCAGAGAAAAGCCTCCGGTGTTCATGTTGGGATCTACCCAGAAATGCTGGAACAGACATGCTCTCAAAACTGTGCACATTTGAGGTGAAGCAGGAAAACAAGGAGTGACGGACAACATGTGTCACACAATGTCACTTGCACCTATTTCTTTAAAGGGGGCCCAAGATGATTTGATACAGCTTTACCCACCCTTGTGAAGCTGTCATGATCTCCTAGGGTTCTTTCCTAGGGTTTGATGCAAATGGCAGATTTGAGAAGTCTGAAGATGAGAACTGGATTTTAAGAAGTGGTTTGAGGAAGGGAGAGTGATTAACCTGAAGAGGGCAAATACTAAAGCTGTGACTTGTGATGCAGGAGGGTTGGCCTTGGAGAAAAGGACAAGAACTGTTATCCTCCTGCAGGAAAAGAAGGAAATCCAGTAGACAGATAACAGAATATGGTCAGAACTTTTCTTAATGGTTTTGCTTTTTGTGAACCAGAATGTTTCATTACTAGAAAGCAGTGAAAGCAGAGATTATGAGAAACATAGCTGCAGATATGTGGGACACAGCTGCAAACAGCTTCTAGAACATGTTTTATTTGCTTCTCTGCTTCAGCAGGAGACCACCTTACACTCAGTGAGAGAGGATAGAAGTGGCCCACAATCATCAGCCAATCAGTCAAACACAACTCTCTAGGCAGAGAAAGGGAGAATGCACAATCTGCAGCTTTTTCAGTGGGTTGGAAGGTAGGTGGAGCAGTGTCTGGGCAGGGAGAGAAGCACGCAGGAGATGTGAGAAGGTGAGTCTGTTCCACCTAGGATGTTTAAGGAGCCAGTTTGTTGCCATTGCAACATCACTTACAAAACACAACCCCAATCCCTAATGAGCTTATCTTTTAAAATAAGAGAAACCTTTCTTGCCTCAGAGTACTTGTTATGTGCTCAAAATGTGCTGTTCTCTTTCCAAAAGCTTTTCATCTTAAAGTGAGTTTTTGCCAACTGGTCTGAGACGGAGCTCTGTGAAACAGCATGGCAAAAGAACAAGGCTGCATGCCATTCAACTTTAATAAGTCATGGGAGAAGATATTGTTTAGCCTTGCAGAGTTTATACTCTCAGATTTATAACTGTAAGTAATTAAAAGGAAGCAAGCCATCTTGGACCTGTCTATGCTCCAGCTCTTACAGGGCCCAGTGTCTCGCATCTGGCATGGCTCAAGGGTCTGTGTCCTTTTTGAAAGAGAAGGTACTAATTGGGTTGGCTGCTCCTTGCCAGTGGTGCAGGCAGCTCTGTGGGCATTGAGGAGAGTTCATGGGGTCTCCAGGCTGGCTAGGGAAAAAGAACTTTGCTAAACTTTTCCCTTCTTACAAAGCAGATTTTTGGACTGTTGCCATCAGAGCGACTTCTGTATTTGGGGCTTTTGTACAAAGCTTTGGATCCTGAAGATCTGGGCTGGGGAGTGGGTGCACATACAAAGCCACAGCAGAGATGCGGTTCCATGCTGCCTCTGGGAGGCAGGTGTGACCAGAAGCTGGGAGCAGACTGGGGAGGCATGCAGAGGTGGCAAGTCTCCCTAGGAGTCTGGTCTGACTTGTAAAATGTACTAGGAAGGATCCTGGAGGTCCAGACCCAATCTCTATATTCCACTGCATAGTCATTCAGGCTTTCTCAGAGGTGTGTGCTGTCTTTGTGACCCACTGTTTGATCTCTCTCCATATGATTAACTATAGCCACCAGACCTGTATACTCAAGTGGCCATGAATATTCATTACCAGCTTTAAATTTTTTAAAAAAATTTATTTTAAGAGGATAAAAGTTGCGGTGAAAACTTGTGTCATCTGAGAAGGTGTTTTTCAGTCATTTTGACTGAAAAAGCTTGGGGCAGCACACACTATGCACTGTTACCTAGATTTTAATAAATTCAGACAAATACAAAAGACTCCCATTGTTCAAAAGCTGTTCTGTAGCTGAACATATGTGCTGAAGCGCAGTGGAAAAAATACTAGCAAAAGTGCCCAGTGTCTAGAGAAGTTTAAATACAGCAATGGCAACAGCCTGGTTGCTGATGCACCGTCCTTCCCGCTGTCTTCTGGGGTCTGGATACAACAAAACACCTGGGCTCAGAGCCATAGACCTCAAAATATCAGTATCAGAGCAGAGGATGGTTTATTTTCTTAAGTCCTGAACATAGACATTTGCGTAATTATTTAAAGATGTTAAGTATCAAAATATGTAAGTAAAGATGTAAGTATTATCCTCTGGAGACATGTTGGTTTCCTTTCGGCAAATTTAGGACAATAATTAGGAACTGTGGCAAAACTACTTGAAATTCAGAAGGACCACTGAGATAAAACATAGGTCTAGACTGAAAGAGAAGAAGACATCATCGAAAGAAAGAAAGGTTGTCAGTGGTTCATAAGGAGAAAAAGGAAAACAAGGTAGTCTCATCATGACAGAATAAAGTATTTATTGGGCATAAGCTATTCTACAGGAAAGAAATAAAATAAATGATAGAACGAAAGGAAGTATTGACACTTAAAGTGGAGACTTTAGTGACAGTGATGGAAACTTTTTTATTAGGGTATAGATCATTGAAGCATTAGTCTGCTAAACTGGCTGAGACCAGTGGGCATGATGGTTGCTGCCTTTGCCAGTCAGAATCGAGAAAGGGCTAAGCTGTACTGTGGGTGCCATTTGTCACAGAGGATCCATCACCAGCAAGGTTTTATGGTTTTGGCTAGCATATCCTTCCCCAAGCACCACTGCTGCCTCTGTCTTTGTGCTCAGGAGCAGACAGGATTGATGATGAGCATATATACAACAAGAAAAAGAAAAAAGTGAATACTTCTGCCTCCTTCAGGTCCACTAAAATGGTTCACAGTCTTGCTTCTTGCTCAGAGTATTTCAGAAAGCTGCTTCACTGTCCTCCTACAGTAAGGACCCCAACAACTTAACCACAATAACAGATCATGAATAACTTTACTGAAGCATGAGTCTGATGGAACATTTAACATTCTATTTAAACCAGTTTACCAGATTGAATAGTCTATCTCCATTCTAACAAGCTCTTTCAGATGGCAAAATAGAGGATTTCCACGCAAAGTCCCCACTGAGAATGATCCTGGGAATGTTCAGACCACAGATTGTATCTAGGAATTATCTGGGGATGCTGGCTGGCAGAGACCTACAGCATACCTGGGAGCCCTCTAACATGAACTGTAGAGACAATTGCATTCCAGTGCATAGGACTGTTCTGGGAACTGTGTAATTTACTAACAGACATAGCCTCACTGTCTAAAGTTGTTTACTCCAGGGAGCTTCTCAACTCCAGGATCTGGATACATGCTCCCTTGCCTCCCAACCATGTTCTGAAGTGAGAGAAAGCCAATTTCATGCTCTTGGGAAGGAGATTTGAGTACACAAGTGAGATGGGCGACTGACTGTCCAGACGACTGTGGGACCAGAGTGCTCTGGCACATATTTCATCATTGGTCACAGTCACTCTTACAAGGTATTTCTTCATTTTGTGCCAGTCCCAGACCTACTTAATGTTTGTGGCAGCAGGTCTTTGCATTTATTTTTCTTCTGCCCCTTTTCTATGGAAAATGGCTATGTTAGCTCCTGAATTCCTTCCAGAGCACTATCTGAGCATGAACAGTTCTATAATTAAATCAAACTATTTTAGCTCACAGGAATAACTGAGTGAAATTTGTCTGAGAGGAATGATGTATATGATCCCAATGGAAGCCTGGAAAGACTTTATCAGCATGTCAGAATAATTTCACAGCTTAAGTAGACAGGCCTAGAATAGACTTACGAGGTACATGTGTATTACAAAGAGCTTTCCTATATTATTTTCATTTCACTTGCTTAAAAACACCCTCTATGGGAAAAAAAGGAAAAATATTGTATTTTTAATTTCACATTGGGCAAACACTTAGGAGTTATATCTTGAGCCCAGCAATGTGACTAGTGCTCAGTTTGAGAGCTTCAGAGCTCATCAGAACTGCTCGAGTACTGGTAAGTGGAGGTTCACCTTCTCCCGTTGCACTCATGATGTGCTTCACGCTTCTAGAGACTTTAATGGTGTTAAAAGAGGTCAGAAGGGGTTTTGAATCTCAGAACATCTGTCTGTCAAGACCCACTTCTGGGGTCATGACCCCACTTTCAATTATACTGGCAAGCTTGTGCATAAAAGTAAGGTTGTGACCTTTGTTTATTAACTAGTGGCTTAAAATAAGTTCTGGGAAGAGGGAATAAAAAAACATTTGCAAAGCAGTGTATACTTGGAATGCACGTCAAGTGTAGGGTACTTTCCAGAGAGACAAGACTAGGGTGAGGTCATGCACACATGCAATGCTTTGTATTTCTGTTTAGGTCATTCTTTTTCTCCATAAAAAGGAAAGAGCTAACTATTCTCAAGGAGGATAGAAATATAGCAGCAGCAGGGTTCTGCTTATTAAGTGATTTAGATCTCTGTCCTGAATTTAAATCATCAAAGGACTTACACACCTAGAAGTATATAGTAAAATTTTCCATTGGAAACTGGGGGTTCATGTACTGGAAATCAAGATAGAGTCTATGCTACAGCAGATTAAGGTATTAGCCAGTCAGAGGATGACTGTGAAACACAGACAGGACCAGTCCTGAACAAGTCACACGTCATTCTAAGATTTATTAGATATGATATTTGCAGCATAGTATGGAGATGAGTCCAAAGCATCACTGGGAATTTAACCACTGGTTAAATACCTTTTCTAATGCATTTTGTTCTGCAAAGTGAATTTAAACAAAACATGCAGAGGATGATTTAAATGGCCAGTAGATGAGAGTTCTGTCTTGCAAGGTAGAGACTGAGAAGGACAGTGAAAGAAAGCTTGGGTTTCACTCCCTAAGTATATTGGTGAGTAAAGGAAAACAGGGGAAGGAACACTCTGAGCTTAAAGACCATGTTGCACTGATTTTTTTTTTTTTAATATGACTGTGAATCATTCTGGGTTAGAAACTGAAAGAACTGGCAGTACTGCAAAGTTTTAGCAGACTATGGTGAGTCTGGAGCAAGGAACCAAAATGATTTTAAGACACATCTTGCTGAATAAAATTGTATGGGAAGAGGTCTGCAGTATCAGGAGACAGGGACCAATTATACAGACATTGAACACGTGACATTGCTAGTCCTCAGGAGGAAGAATATCTTTCTGCCAGTAGTGTATCCTCGGTACGGCACATCACCCAAAACCCTCCTTAGCCTGACACTGGAACACATACAGAAAACTAAGGTGGAGTTAGCTCTACTGCTTTACAGCAGATTTTCTGATGAAGAGGGTTGTTTTCCAGATATGTAGCCAACATTGTGCATTGCTCAATGTCATAACATCACTTGCAGTTATATGCAATTCTTTTCACTCTATGGTGTTTACCACTTCTAAATGTGGGTAGTCAGTCACAATAGCATTCTTATAGTGTTAAGAAATGTCCTCCTACCCCATTTGCTAATTTCATTTTATGTGAAACAAATGTGATTTTCCTCAGTTTTTAACTATTTTAATTCCATATATTCTTTTCATGATCAATTTAAATATTTTTACTGAATAGTTTACACAAATTTCCAAGTAAATGCTTATTCCTTTTCCTCCATCTGTGATTCAGGTGGTAAACTCATAAGGATTACAAAAAGGATTAGAGAGTGACAGGAGCTGCTGCCTACCTTGTGCAATTTACTGACTTTTCAAACCAGATTTATTCTGGAGAAAGAAAAGACAACTCATACTTTAATTCTTTGTATTCTCTGCAACAAAGAGCAGGCAAAGTTCTTAGTTCTTAGTCTTCCAACAATTCAGTCAATCATTGAAGCTCAGGTCCTGATTGGAGTCTAATCACTGGAACTCCATCCCATCAGCTTCTTCTTTATATATATATATATATATATACACATGCACACACACATACACACATATATATTCCTCTTTTTTAGAAATAAAATCAATAAAGGAAGCTGTTCCAGACCCAGGCCAAAGAAGACTCCCCTGGACGAATATGTCACATGGAGAGATGATAAAATTGAAATGACCTTTCTTCTAATCTAGAAACTTTCCCTAATCAACAAGATCTATAAAGGGCAAGTACCCTTGCACTGGATCTGCATAGCTCCCTCAGCATTCGTGAGTGTATCCCATTAGGTGCCATGCAGTTACACTTGTCCAGTTTCTTTAGAAGTTCCCTGATTTGATCCTCATCCTCCTCGTAAGTCTTCCTTGCAGTAAACTTCCCCACTAATCTCAGGAGCTGAAGGCTGCTTTTACCAGTAAAGACCAAAGTGAAGAAGACATGAACACCATGTACTTTTCTGTGTCTTTTGGCAAAGGGCAGCTGTCCTATTCAGCAGCAGTCCCACATTTTCCATAGCATTTTTTTTGTTGTCTTCATTCCTCTTACCAGAATCAACTCCAGGTGGGCTTTGGCTTTTACAAATCCCGTCCATGAACAATACAGAAATGTCCCTGTGTCACCTCTCCCTGCCTTGACCTCTTTTATGCTCTCTTCTTATATTTGAGGCTGATCAGGATATTCTTGTTCATCCATTCAGGCTTCCTGTCACCTTTCACAATTTCTTTCATTTCAGAATGGGCAGTTCTTGATATTGGAAGAGGTGATCGTGGAAAACCAGTACGAAGCATCAGCACAGTTGAAGAAAACCATGAGAAGTGAGAAGCACCATGGAGAAGAACAGGCAGCTGTTATGAACACAATCCAACTTCCAGGACCACCCACTGCTTCACTGCAGGAATTGGGGCAGATTGAGTATGTCCTGCAGCAAGAATAAGGGAAATTGAGACTAAGAATTAAGGAGGATAGGTGTTTGACTTAAGGTGAGCCTGAGGAAGGAGAAGAAAAGATGTTTACTGGAATGTTTTTTTTCTGATACCTGGATCGGTGATTGAAAATTTCTGTTGATTGGTAATTCACTGAATTAAGTAAAACTTGCCCAGTTTTTGCCTTTAATGCTGGCAAATGCAATAGCCAGATCTTCATTTTATGGACACCCTTTAGCATATTCTGCTTTGATAAAATGGAGATGCATTAATCTTTGGAAACTACAGATAAATACAGATTAGGACTCTTTATCCTGTCTGAGTACTCTGAAGAGGGGAACACATACAAAACTAAAAGAAACTTTGACTACATTAATACTAGGCTGACCTAAAGATAATTAACGCAACCAGCTGATATGCTGGTTTGAATTTACTCCTGTACTTCTGTAATTGCTCAGCTTCCAAACCACATCTGGTTTATATCTGTTTTGGAGCCATAGAACAGACCACAAAAGGTTGCACCCATCTCTAGCTATTTCCTATTTCTTTGTATGTTTTAAAAAATGTAAATTCTAAAATTCAATAAACAACAACCAAAGCAAAGAAACAGTGTGAGTCTTTCTTCTAATAATGTTTCAAAATCTCATTTTATGAGATTCATAACAAGCTTAAGAACTTGAAAAGGGCATGGTTGGTCAGAGGACCCTCTACTATGTGGCCAAGAAGAGATGCATGTGAAGACATTCCCAATATATTAAAAAGAGTATTCTGTCAGATCCTCACTAACAAAGGACTAGATAGCATATCTGTGTCAGCATATTGTACTGTCAGAGGGTATTAATTCTCAGCTTAGCATCCTAAACACATGAAAGTAAGTGGGAATTGAAGTGGCAACACCTTCTAGGGGTAGGTCAGCCCTTTTATCCCTCATTGGAGTGAGGTAATTTAGCAGCTCAGGAACACTCCTCTTTCCCTTTGGATGGTTCTTTTGCCTTTTTTGGCTTTTTTCTCCCCAGGTGTGAGGGTGGATGAGAACTTGCTGAGTTGGTTTTGAAAATGTAAAATGTGAAGAAAGGGAAATTAGACCCTGGCTGTGGTTTAAATTGAAATGGAGATCAATGTCCCGCACTTTTGAGCATAATGGGTGTGTATGCATTTTGGGAGAAGTTCTGTAAGTTTGATGTAAGTCAGTCTGCTTGTGTAATTCTACCATACCTTGTCCAGATTCCTGTCTGCAGCTATGTTTATTTTAGAAAATGTCTCTTCTAGTATTAAAAAAAAAAAAAAAGTCAAAACAAAAGTTTTGTTGTTCTAGCACAGTTCACAGTAATATCAGGATTAGAATTCTGCTTCTTAAAAACAAAGGTCGCTAGCTGCCACACTGACTAAGCCACTTCATCCCTTGTTACTCTCTGAACTCTTAAGTGGACTCAGAGATTTGCCTGCAGTGTGTGGAAGCAAAGGCCCTGTAGAAGGCTGGGGGGCTTCTAGAGTGACTAGGTGATTTCCGATTACAAGTGAAGGTGGGAATTATGTCCCAATGGATGCTTCTGATCTTCATGCTGAGGCTGATGCACAGTCCCATGGCTCCTGCTATAAGTAGGAGGAGATGTGCTAGATGTAGTTTCAGCATATATGGTGAAGGATGTTTCTTGTTGCCATCTATCTCACTTGTATGTGGGACAGTTATCTATGATTGAGAGATCCTTTTTCTCTTGATAATCCCTTCCTCCGTAATTGCACTGAACTTGAAACCAGAGTAGTTTTTTACAGTTCCTGTTGAGATCCAGAAAGAGTTCTGTGGTACTAGCGGAAGAAAATAGATCTCCAACATTATTTGTTTTAATGTCCAAGGGCATGGATTGCTCTAGCAACTGACTTAGGAAGCGCTGAAAAAGATGGAGTAATCTAGAAAATACTATACTAATGGCCTGTTTTACAGAACCCTGAGCAATGGTGAATATCACTTTGTCCTGGATACCTACTCCATTCATAGCAAATATGTTATTGTAGTAAGTTTCCTTCTGGAAAGCTTTGTCTTGTAAATAGATGTCTGCTAAACTTGCCTGAAGACAGGGTCTGACCTGTATGTTCTCAAAGTTTATAATCTTGGAGGGTGCAAGTCTTTCAGATACATTGGTTTTACCCTGCCAAAACAAGCTGAGAAATATCACTCTAAAAATAGCGCTGTCTTTTGGCTCTGAGCATGCTTTAGGTAAGACATTCCTAAAACTTAAAATAATTAATAAATTACTCTGCAGAAACAAACTGTAAAGCTGAAGAGGATTATAATTTTTTTCATTTTTTATTTGCCATTCTTTGCTCCTTTAAGGTGAAAACCTGGCCGCATTTTTTAATATACAATGGTTTGGGTAGGTTTTTTATTTGTTGTTTTTGGTTTTTTGGTGGCTTTTTTTTTTTTTTTTTTTTTTTTTGTGGTCCTAAGACCTCGGATGATAAAGATTCTATCCAGGAACTCTGAATAAAGCAGAATCCATATGAGTTATGTGCTTACTGTATAAAGGAATGAAAGGAATGTCTCCAAAGAGGTTATATTCAAATAAATTTATCCTCCTCTTGATTAAAGTTCCCTGTCTCATCTATCACTTACAGCTGCAGTTGAACTGAAAAATCTGGTACCTTACTTCATTGGAAGAACCCGATGAAACATTAATACTTCCTGCAGCATGAGCAAAACAAGTGCTCAATTGTTGGACCAAAATGTTTTTTTTGCCTGGGGATATTCTCTCATCCTTCTCATCATGACACTGAGTCTGTGAAAATGCACTTTTGATACATATGTGCTATGCACATGTTTTGCAAGTTAGGAAATGTGAACTCTCCACTGAGAGGTGAATTGTTTTGTCAGCTGAATAAGCCTGGGAATAAAACAGAGGGCAAAAATCTACAAAAGAATTTAAGACTGTAACTCTTTTTCAGGCACCAATCCTCACTATGAAACAGATGAATGATAGGAACCTAAATACCTATGTGGATCTTGGCCTATATCTTGTTGATCCTTGTCCAGTGCCTTTTCTTGATGGCTTCTCTTTCTGTAATGACCTCCATGTTTCCTGGAGTCCTGGTTTATAGCTATTTTGAGATTCACCTTGCAATACAAGAATGAAGAATGATAATTCTTTCTGGGCTTTGAGATTCCATGTTGGTAATGTGAAGTCTGACACACCTTGCTGTTTATATGAGAGGTCCATTAGTGTGCTGGCTTTGAAGGTGCCCTTGTAATGGTTCTTATGTGAACTTGGCTGCCTGTCAGCAGCATGACTGCACAGTTTTGGTAAGCTTGGAAAGCTCCTTTAAAGGCTTGAAAAAGGGAAAGGCCTCATTTCAGCACATTTTTACCAGTGACATAATCCTCTCTTAATATTTTGATATATAAAGCATCATGCCATTTCCCAGGTCAAGAAACTCATTCCCAAAGAATGTATGCCTCTGACTCTAGGAGAGAGTGTTTTTAAACAAAAAATTATTGTTGCTGTTCAGCAGCTTTCCTGGGTGTCTCATTCTTTAGCTGATCCACATTCTTTCCCAGTGAACAAGAAGATGATAAGGCACTATGCCTATTTATAACTTGCAGGCAGAAATGCTTTCTTAATGATGCAGTACTTGGTGAAGGGGAAAGAGAGAAAAAGCAGCCCAGTCCTAAATGCTTGCCATGAGTTCTGTTGTAGGTTATACCTCTGTGTTGTCATCCTTGTTGGTATGTGGAGGGCACCATGTGCCACTTGGCCTCTGAGAGCAAAATAAAACTACGGGTTCAGAGCTGCGCAAAATGAGTCACCAGGAAACCATGCGTTCTTTCATCTCCTCACAGTTTTGTGTTTGATTTTTGTTTATCTGAGAATGGCTATTTATATGATGGTAGCACTTAGAGGCCCTGATCCAAAGTGAAGCCTGCATTGCTAGGCTGTGTGCATGGTGAGAGACAAGCTCTGCCCTTAAAAGTCAGTGATCAAAGAGACCCTGACAACAAAAGATAGGACAGGAAATGGATATGATGTGACTGCCCAAAAATCATGTCATAGTTCAGTCACTTCATACTGATGTACCATTTACTTTTCGTCTTCTCCCTCCAAACAGGTAAGAATTAGGTAGAAGGTAAAAGAAAACTCCAGAGGCAAGAATTCAACTTCAGTGAATAGCTGGTCGTCGCTTTCTACTCCTTGTTTGCTGCATTGAGCTGGATGAGAAAAAGAGGGATCTTGGTTCTGTTTTCTACAGATGTCCTCACCACAGTGGTATGAAGATGGCAATTTTCCAGCCTTGTTGGTTTTGTGACTCTACTCTTTTACTTTCAGTTTAAATCTCCCACATTGAATATATATGACGTCAGAAATGAATTGTCATCAGCTCAGAGGTAGCCTCTATACAGCTTTGTTTTTAACATCCTGTTCAGATGGGATTGTGTAAGAATTGACAAGGAATGTCCTTTTCATCAGGCTGGCAGTCCAGGGTGCTTGTTTTCTAATCTGGCAGGGAATGGATTGGTTATTTTATTCTTTTTCTAAGAGGTGGAAAAATCTCAGTATTAGGAAAGGAATGTAAGGAACAGACAGCACATCTTTAGCAAATTTTCAATGAACATGACATTTTTATTTCTGTGAGGTCTATATCCATATTGTTTCACTCAGGAGAAGAAAAAGCAAGGCACCACTTCACCCACACAAGCTGTCTTCTTGGATGTAATTTTGTGGTGTGTCTGGTGTGCTAATATCTGTTATAGAAAAGATTTGAGGAGTATGATTTGAATAAAAACAATAATTTTCTAAAGATATCAGTGTTCTACTGGAATCACTTCAAAGTTTATTTACTACATCAGTGGCTGACACCCTTTTTAAAGACTTTGCTAGGATGATCTTTTAATTGCCCACATATTTAGTCAAATTGTATTCTATACTGTAAGAAGTTTTTGTTATGAGCTTTGATTAGGGAAAGCCAGTCTCTGCATGCACCTGTAAATATCTGAGCTAGAAAAATTTGAGGAAAACACAGCCCCATTTATTTAATATATTAAATAATTTATTACATTTGTTTATTATTATCCTGAGTCATGAGCAATACTGCTCCGGAAATTTAAGCATGTGATGGACAAAAAGAACTTCCTGAATGCCTGGGCCAACTGTAATGGAAAAGTGAGCTATAAACCCCCTGCCTAGTACTTTTACTAAAAATACCTTTTTGAAGTGATGCCTGCATTGTGCCTAGGAGCCACAGTCCTAGACTATCAACATAGTGTGGATAATATTGTCAGCCAAGGTCAAAAGGGGGTGACTGTTCCAGAAATTTATGGTCTCTTTAAGAGAAGATGACAGACCTGGATAAGACTGGTTACAAGTATGTTCAACTGTTTTGGCTGTCAACCCTACAGTAGTTAAATTTTGTCAAGTTTTCTCAGGCATCATATCAAAAGAGAGATTTCAGTAGGGGTTTGAAGACAACTAGTAAAATTGCATTGTTTTAAAGACCATATCTGAAATCTGAAATATGGGGAGTTAGGGTGACTGTAAAAGATGGAAGTCAACTATCAGTATTGGGGAAATAGGAAAAGATATA